CACTGTATATATATCACACACACACACACACACACACACACACACACAAACACACACACACACACACACACAAACAAAGAAAAACAAGTAGATAGAATAGAAAAAATAGAAAGCTTTTTTTTAATAAAGAATAAAAAAATAAAAAAGATAAATATAGATCAAGTAGAATTAAAATAGAATATAAAGTGTTAGAGTTGTGTACTATTCTATTCTATTCTGTTCTGTTCTAATTATTTTACTGTAAATGTATGTCACATAAAAAAACATTTTGTTATTTAAAACAATTTATTTAATTTTCTTCTCGGAAACTACATGCAAATGTGTGTGTGTGTGTAGTGGTTTATATATCCTGGTGGGGACTTAAACCTGACTACACACAGACTCATGGGGACTCGTGTCCCGGTGGGGACCTAAATTGTGGTCCCCACGGGTACAAAAGCTTATAAATCATACAGAATTAAGTTTTTTGAAAATCTAAAAATGCAGAAAGTTTCCTGTGAGGGGTAGGGTTGGTGTAGGGCAATAGAATATACGGTCTGTACAGTATACAAACCATTACGCCTATGGAGATTTCCCACAAGAATAGCTGACCAGACATGTGTGTGAGTGTGTGTGTGTGTGTGTGTGTGTGAGAGAGAGAGAGAGAGAGAGAGAGAGAGAGAGAGAGAGAGAGACTTATTTGACTTTTAAGTTCTTCTTTAATGTACAATCTATTGAATCATTAACAGAGACACAACAACATTCAGTCTTTAAATAAATAATATAAAAAAGAAGAGAGAGAGAGAGAGAGAGAGAGAGAGGGGGGGAGAGAGAGAGAGCAATCAAGAAGCAAACAGTCAATAGACACGCTCTCACAGGCCAGAACTGAAATATTGTTCCAATTCTCAGTCCAGTAGTTGCTACAGGACTGCTGTATTATAATCGTTTTTATTTTTATTTATTAGTATTTTCTTCTTCCGATGTATCTGTGTGTATAGGTCCTATATGCCATTTCCATACGAGTTATATATTACATATTAGTTATAATATATAAATAAATGTTCAGATGTTATAAACCATTATCGTTGTTGTCTTAATGCTTTGAGAATACAAAATGTATTTTTGTCTTGCCAATAAAGCTATTTGAATTGAATTTTGAGAGAGATAGAGAGAGATAGAGAGAGAGAGAGAGAGAGAGAGAGAGAGAGAGAGAGAGAGAGAGAGATGTGCACAGTGCACAGTGCACAGTGCAGTGTAGTGTTGTGCTGTAGGTTACTCTGCTGTTTCTGTCCCTGCATTGCAGCCCAGCGCTGGCTGCTGGAAGTCAAACCCAAATGGCGACGTCCAGCCCCAGCAGTAACCCAGCAGCAGCCTCCAGCCTGAGCAGCAGCAACAGCGCGCAGCACCACTCGACCCAGAGCCAGCACATCAGCAGCATGAGCACCATGAGCAGCATGCAAGGTCAGAACCCAGCCGAACCGAGCCGGGCTCATCCACCCGGTGACAGCGTACACACACCAGACGAGCCTCGACCCGCCGTGAGGCTTCAGCTCCGCTGTCGACGTAACATCGCTTTTACACGCTCTGGATTGTATGTTTTAAACTAGTCGCCTCTTTGTAGCAGCTGTACACTAGTAGTTTTAATTGTAATTTTAGTGTCCTGTAGCCGCACGGCTAACCGCTTTAGTCACACACTGACAGGCCCGTTAATATTTCATTTTCTCAACGTGATAATTGCATTATTCACTACGTAACCTAAGTTTAAATTAATATTTTCTAAGTCCATATCGCAGTTAGTATTATAGTAATTGGTTTAATGTCATCGTTTGGATTCTGACTCTCGTTGGAGTTTGTTGACATGTTTAGCTGCGTGGCTAACTGGCTAACGGTACGATAATGCTAATGCGAACTTCAGATCAGTGCGAGGGTGTTTAGATCATGTGTGGACCACAGACATATGAATACTTGATTTCGTAAAGAAAGCGACACTGTTAGCTGGTAATATTACCGATAATCTGTATGTCTTAAATATAATAAACCAGGGCTTTTCATATCATAAAGCACGGGCCCCCACAATATGATCATCCGCGCGTTATATAGTTTCATGTAAAACCCAATTTATACTCTGAAAAAATAATTTGATAAATGTCTAAAATATTAATTGGGAAATATTTTATTTTCTGTTAAGTTACTAAGTTACATTATTACGTGTGAACCCCCTTTCCCCCACACACATTTAGTACTTTACTATTTAAAATAATTTTTTTAAATGTTTGAAATTTACATCATCATTTATTATTTTTAATTTATTATTTTATGTACCTATTTATTAATTTATCTATTTTAATCAGTTTGTTTAATTGCATCTTATTGTTATATATCTACTCATTTATTTTAATTTATCATACTTTATTTATAATAATTGATTTATTATTATGTGAGTGTTTTAATTCATACTGATTTTTAATTAACTGGTTGTACAACACTAATATTTTAAGGGGCTATAATAAAAAAAAATTAAAGAAAGAAAATAAAGCCATCTTACTATAGCAAAGCAAGAAAATCTCATTACCCTAATATATAAAATAATAATATTTAATAAATGACAAATAATTAAATAATTTATTGATATTAATTTATATGTAATTTTTATTTAACAGACAGTTTGACAGTGTTTGTTCATAATCAACAACAGTGTATCATTCCATTTTATTACATATAATGTAATAATATTTAATAATAATAATGTAATCAAATTTTGTATTAATTCATGTAATATTAATCAATAAAAGTTATGAATACATTATTATGTGCCAAGAAAGTGGAACATTTGCAGACATGTTTAACCTCAAAATTAAAAAAATATTGTATTGTTTTAAAATGATAATAAAGAAATTGTTTTGCCTAAAGAAAACTAAGCAAAACAGTAAAGCAATTTCTTACCTTAATTAATGATTTAAGTAACAACAAATACTGCCATGATGTAAAAATGCAAATAAATAATAATTAATTAATACATAATTAAATGGTTATCTATTAATTTATTTGAGTTTGTATGCATCATGATAGTCTTTGTTGGACTGCACTAATATTTTAAGGTGCTAGAGTAAAAAAAAACAACTAAGAAATGCTTAAAAAAAAAAAAAAAAACTTAAAAAAGGAAATGATTTTTTTTCTATAGAAAATAAAGCCATCTTATTATAGTAAAGCAAGAAAATCTCATTACCCTAATATAAAAAATATATATTATTATGATGGAAACTAATTAAATAATTGATATAAATATTGATATAAATGTATATGTAATTTTTATTTAACAGACATGTTTAGTTCATAATTAACAGTGTATCATTACATTTTATTACATATAATGTAATAATATTTAATAATAATGTAATAAAATGTATAATTTATATGATATTAATCAATATAAATTATTAATAATAATTATTCAATAATATTCATCAACAATAATAATAATAATGAATATAATCTTTTCTTTATGCCTTGGTGATCATAAGATACTTCTTTCAAAAACATAAACAAATTGTACTGGTCCCAAGCTTTTGAACGTTACAGTACTTTTACTAAAAAAAGTAAATAATGTGCAGGACAAGTAGGCCTATTTCTTTGAATTCAACATTTTTGTACAGTTCTCATTTGTCATCAGATCGTATTATTATGTCTATATCAGAATTATTTCATCCTCCCTTCTCTCTAGATATTGCAATTTAAGCCATTAAATTAGTTGACCACTAGTCAGTATTTCCATTCGATAACTCATATCTGTATCAAACAACTACATAAAGGGGATCTTAGTGAGAAATCGGCACAAGTCTAAAGCTTGGAGCTTCCATTGACTTTGCAGCAAAAATATTCACTCCTGGACAGTCGATTGGTCCTGACTTTCGTTTGATTTAAAATCAGCCTTTACCAGATCTCTTCAGTAATAATCATGCATGTACTTTCCACATTGATCAGTGGTTCACATACAGTAATGGAAGCTCTGGTGGTTGTTGATTCAGGTGTTTTAGGCAGCTTTTTCTACTAACTGGTGCAGTGAACATCGCCTTGGGGGCTGTAGCTGTCTTCCCTGTTTCTTGGGTTTGCATTTTGTTTAGTGTTGGAGCACTGCTGGGATGTTTTTGGCATGAGCATCTCGTACAAACACCAGCTTGTTGGGACATGGACGCACATGCCGTGAGGTTTCTGAAATGTCGTTCCTCTGGTGTTCGGATTCTCACATTCTTGTGGTGGAGGGGAAATAGTGCTTAATTTCACAGAGATGTGCTTGCTCACATTTTCCAGTTACTTCCATGAATCTGAAGTTTTTTTTTTTTTGGTGCTTAAGTATTGTTTGTTTTATGTTAACATTGTTTTAATTTCTCTTTTGTGCAGGGCTGGGCGATATAGAAAAAAAATGTCACGATATAATGTTTAATATCATTCGGTATCGATAATTATTGAAATTTTTATAACCTTTTCTAAACAAAGAGCAGTAGAAAAAAATGAACAGGGTTACTGTTCAAAATGCAGGTATAAAATACTAAAAAAGCTGTAATGATATAAAATAGGGCTGGGTTTTGACACAAATTTCACGATTCGATTCGATTCTCATTCACAATTCGATTTGATTCAATATTGATTATTTTGGATATATATCAGGTACAGTACATGCCAAATTTTCTCAAGGAAAAAAAATCTCAACTAATGCTGTAAAATATACATGGGAGTCAGTTGGTACAACATTACTATAACATTGAAGGTTCAAATGTATAAAGTTTTTACAATAATAAAGTTAGTTACATATTAATATTTCTACTTCAATTCGTTTTTTGAAATATAAACATTTAAATAGTGGCTGTCATAAAAACTTGATGGATTTATTCAAACATAAATTAAACATTGAAGAACAGTAAATATTATTATGAATATGTTATATGGTGCATATATTAAGTAAAATGCTCCTCTGTACAGTTTATTTTTCTATCTGACTAATGAGTTTATGGTCACTGAATATGTTTGTTTCTGAGGTAAGTGTGACGTTACGCGACACATTGTTTACAAGCTGTTATATTGGCGTCTTTGCGCGGCTGAAACACAGATTGAGTGATTATATGAGACAGGATACGGATTGTAAAGTTGTACTCTTTCTTTTAACTTACCTTCGGATGTTTAGTCATGTTTATTTTGTGCTGAAACTGGTATTAATGTGGAGGAGATGATCAGTTCACGTGCGCCTCGCGCTGCCGCTTTTATTGAACTGAGACGCTACAGCGATCTGTCACTCCACATTAAACAGCGCCAAAACGGCATTTATTGTTTGAATACTGCAATACAATGGACAGAATTTGAAATCTGAGACTTTGTTTCATATGAAAAGTACCAAAGCACAATGCTTATTGCGATTTATTGGATGGGTCAATGTTCCATCCATTAATTGAAAACAGGCTAGACTAATCGATTCTTGGGATTTAAGAATCGATATCGTTCTGTAAAAATGAGAATCGTTTAATATCGAGATATTGATATTTTTACCAAGCCTTAATATGAAATAATGTGAATGTAAGTCATTTAAAGAGATGTTTAATAATTCAGCAGTCTTATATTATTCCTTCCAAAAATACCTTAGTGTTCGATTTGTTATTTCACATTTTACGTCTTTATTTTTACGCGTCATGGTATAAAGTAAATAAATAATAACAATTATAAATTTTAATAATAAAATTTTTTTTTTGTGGTTTCTGTTTCAGTAAAAAATACAATTATTTTTTGGTTTTAGACTAAATGATTTTGGTAGAAACAGTGACCAAAATAGTGACGATTGATTAATTAGCGTTTCTTCGATAATGCATTTTGACGCATTTTCAACGTAACAAAAATAATTCTAGAGTAGCAATATGTAAAATTTGTAGAAGCCCTGAACAGCATAAAGAGTTCAATTACACAAATATAATTACACAAACTTTATTTTCAGTTTTTAGTTTTTTTTTTTTTTTTATAATCGCTATTTCTGTCACGTTGTTTGGATTGTCTTTATTTTTGTGGTGGCTATTTTTAGTGCTTATAATGCACCTCTCACACTCTAAATAAACCATGCAAGATTTGCACATTACAGATTCATGCATAATTTTGTGTTTGCATTGTGTTGGGTTTTGCATGTTGTGAAGGTAGGTAAGTTTCTTTTTCGTTTCCGTTTCAGATCTTCCGTTTTGTGTCCGGATGTGATCAGATCTTTTTAATGCTCTGTTGTCTGTCATGAGTGGATGTAACTGGGGAAAGATGTGCTGATTCGGTCGTGTTAAACGCAGGGTTTGAGCATGTCGGACTGCAGTTACTGTCCTCTGCTGCCAGATTTGCTAAAGCCGTCGTCACCCTCAATGTTTTTTCTACATTGTGCAATGAAGATGTTTTAAAGCTGCAGCATGTCCTGATGGCTTTAGGAAATCTGGCTCTTGGGTTCCTCTCCTGGTGCTCAGATGTGCATGTCTCTAGTGAACTTGGTCTCTTCACATGACCCTCCCACATCTTCCATGGCTTAGTTAGAGATCTCATCCTATGGCAACCTGAACAAAATACACCTGCAACTTTTATCTTCACGCTATCTGAGTGTGTTCGGGTTGTGCTTTTGTGTGTGAAATGGCTGTTTCCTGACTGTGTTGTTTAACCTGACGGTCTCTTCCTCCTCTGTCAGGTAAACGTAAAGCCCTGAAGTTAAATTTTGCCAATCCTCCAGTCAAACCTGCTTCCAGAATCACTCTGAACACTGCTGGACTTCCTTTCCAGAACCCACACATGTGAGTACAGACCATCTGATGACCATTTCACCCAAAAATGAAAATTTGCTGAAAATGTACATACCATCAGGCCATCTGAGATGTAGATGAGTTTGTTTCTAAATTAGATTTTGAGAAATGTTACATGACTTGCTCACCAATGGATGCTCTGCAGTGAATGGGTGCCGTCAGAATGAGAGTCCAAACAGCTGATTAAAAACATCACAATAATCCACAAGTAATCCACAGCACTCCAGTTCATCAATTAATGTCTTATGAAGAGAAAAGCTGCGTGTCTGTAAAAAACAAATCCATCATTAGGGCGTTTTAACTTCAAACCTTTGCTTCTGGCTAAAATATGAGTCTATAATCCATAATAACACTTCCTCCAGTGAAAAAGTCCATCTCCTCTTGTCCTCTCACATCAAAATCCACTGGTTTGCTCTGTTTTTGTTTGTAAACGGTGCTTGATCCTTGCATATTTCTCTCCTGATTCAGGTGAGACGACTTTTTCACTGGAGAAAGAAATATTATGGATAGAGTACTTTTAGACAGAAGCGATGGTTTGAAGTTAAAATCGTCTTGATGATGCATTTGTTTCTCAGAAACATGCAGCTTTTGACTTCACAAGACTTTAATTGATGGGCTGGAGTGGTGTGGATTACCCTCATTAAATAGTTTTTAGCTTAAAACGGTTGCTTCCTGCTAAAAGTTCCCTGTTCATAACATTGCTTTCTCTAGTGAAATGGAATTACGTGTTTGTTTGTTTTTTAGCTTTTTAAATCCAAATCGATCAGTCGATGGTTTAAATAATCGTCAGATTATTGGATTTAAAAAATCTTATTTTATTGCAGCCTTTGAGTTTTGGAGCTCCACTCAGAACTGTCTTCTGTGGACAGTAGTGTCAAGACAGGTCTTCAGTTTTGTCTTCCAGCCTCAGCCATGATCGTCTTCACAAGCATGTGCGTGTGTTTTCAGAGAGCGGCTGCGGACACACAGTATCGAGTCGTCTGGGAAGCTGAAGATCTCTCCGGAGCAGCACTGGGACTTCACAGCCGAAGACCTGAAGGATCTCGGCGAGATCGGCCGAGGAGCGTATGGCTCCGTCAACAAGATGGTGCACAAACCCAGTGGACAAATCATGGCCGTCAAAGTAAGACACATCATAGGTTACTGATCGCTGTCAGTTATACTGCAGGTTGTCTTTGAAAGTCAGAAACTGTGTGTGTAGTTTTCAATCCAAAATCCACTCCTTAAACATTAAAAAAAATACAAGTTTCTTATGTTTTGATGATAATTTGTGGAAACATCTGGATGTTTTTGAGCCTTTAGTTGTGGTATCATCAATTTCAGAAAAAAACAGACGTCTTTTTCTCTAAATTGCCAGTTCTTGGTCAGAATATCATCATCAAGTATTTCAGTCCTTTTACACAATTACATAATAATTATACATCATCTTCCATATTATCCAAAAACAAGTGTTGGATGAAGGCTAATTTTACCAACCATTTTTTTCATAAAAAGTCACTTCTACTGATAATTTAATCTACAAGATTAAATAAGATACAAAAACAAAACGGTTACTCAAGACAAAATTTCTTAAGACCGTACACTGTGTAAAAAAAAAAATATATATTTTTTTAAATGACTGGCAGCTACGGCTGCCAAACAAAAACCGTA